TTGGTCACCATGATTCTGACATCACACCAAATGCATTCAATCTTATAGAAACAGTAAAAATTGAAATAAATTTATGTTTAAAAACAGATCAGTTATTTATTAATAAACGAAGATATATTTAACTTAAAAGTGACATTGAATATTTGGGTTGAAGTGTTCTGGAACAGTGTTGTAAATACAACTTAACCACTGATTTCTAGTCGTGTCCATTTTTGGAAGACCAAACAAAGTAGTTTCGCTTTCACAACGATACAGCGTCACACGCGGCGGCTTACAGTGAGCAGAGGCCGGGGGCTAGCGTGAGGAACGGCCGGAGGGTTAGAGTGAGCAGAGGCGGGTGGGCTTGAGAACGGCGCGGCCGGCGATTTCGACGAAGGAACGTCCGGAAGGACATGTGACGACCCCGGGCTGGACTCCGCTTCATCCACGATGAAAGCCGATCCGGCGATCCACAGCGCGAAGTCGTAGTATTTCCTCAGTGACCAGCACGGATCAGCTCTAGTCATGATGAAGCAGATATCGTCCTCTTTTGGAAGGCCAAACAAAGTAGTTTCGCTTTCACAACGAAACACACAGCGCCTTCACGACATGGCGGCGGCAACAACAATACTACACAGAGAAAAAAAAAAAAAGCCTTTTTTCTTTGCATGAAAATTTGGGCGGCGTTATGCAAATCTTCCCACATTGTGACGTAGACATGTGGGGGTGTGTTAGAACGAGCCGTTTTAGGTAGGTGTGGCTGACTCTTAACTTTTATAAATAATATCTCTTTGGATTTGAGACTTTAGTCTTTGCAACTTTACAGATCTTCTTTATGCACCAAGAGCTTGCAATACTCCAAAGAGAAAGGAACAATTGAAATCGCATCATATGACCCCTTTAAAGTAAATGTTTAGTAGACAACATACACTACCATTAAAATATTTGGGATAGGTAGGATTTTTTTTTCTTCATGTTTCTGAAGTCAGTAATATTATGAAAAAGTATTACTATTTAAAATAGCTGTTTTCTATTAGAATATATTTTAATATGTAATTTATTTCTGTGATGCAAAGCCGAATTTTCAGCAGCCATTACTCCAGTTTTCAGTTTCACATGATCCTTCAGAAATCATTCTAATATGATGATTTGTATGGAGGACCAAACCTGCAGAAATTAAAAATAAATAAATACACAAATAAATAAATAAATACATGTGTGTATAAATAAATAAATATGCAAATAAATAAAGAAAGAAAGAAATGTGTGTATACATACACATATTCTTGTTTAAATACATATATAAATAATTAAACGTGTGATGAAATATAGGTTAATAAATCAAATAAATTGGTGGCCAAATGGAAAATGTTTAAGGAAAACTAAACTCATCCAAACTGTTTTCTTTTAATCACTCATTTATTTCTGAATGTAGTTCCGCATTTATTTTTCCTCTGGTGTCATTTTCCGGCATTCGATATTCGCAAATCTAGGGACCGTGTTTCAAAAGTTACATACGACATTGGTATACACTTTTCTAACTTCAATAGCATTTGAGGAAAATTACTTACAGTAACACAACCAACTGTGAAGTGTTCATGTAGTTCTCAGTTATAATGTACACCTTTTAGATTTTTGATATTTATTAAAATAAACTGTCAAATCATATGCAAATATATTGTTTATTTCACTACCGAATGGGCTCAAACACAATATATATATCATCATTTAAAGCTCAATAGCATTTGAGGAGAAGGACTTACAGTAACACAACCAACTGTAACATGTTCATGTAGGTCTCAGTTACAATGCACACCTTTTAGATTTTTGATATTTATTAAAATAAACTGTCAAATCATATGTAAATATTGCTATTTTTTTCTTTACGAATATGGGCTCAAGCACAAAATATGCCATAATTTAAAGCTCAATAGCATTTGAGGAAAATGACTCGCAGTCATAAAACCAACTGTAAAGTGTTCATGTAGGTATCAACTATAATGCACACCTTTTACATTTTTGATATTTATTAAAATAAATGGTAAATTCATATCTACACTGTAAAAAAACTCCCTGTAGAAATTACGGTAACTAACTGGCAGCAGTTCGCTCATAACTTACTGTAATTTTATTTCGTAGCAAAAATACTGTATTTTATTTTACCGTGTCATTTAACTTGCTGTAAATGTATTTACAGTGTAATATTGTTTAACTGTAAAATATTTTATTATTGTATTAATTTTTTGGTCCTTTCTTGAGTAATGCATTTTAAAACAATACAAAATATACTGTTATACTGTCAAGTTTACTGTAATCGGTTTGCTTCACTTTTCAGTTATTGTAAAACTATATGCACAAATTGTCAAATTAGCAGTTCCATTAAATAACAATGGAAAAAAAACAATGACAACTGTGTAACTTCATATTTTAAATTTTCCCAATGCAGTTTTTACAGTTCTCTACAGTTGATTCACATATCTTATTATTATTTTTTTACAGTGTAGATATGAATTTACAGTTTATTTTAATAAATATCAAAAATCTAAAAGGTGTGCATTATAAATGAGAACTACATGAACACTTCACAGTTGGTTGTGTTACTGTAAGTAATTTTGCTTAAATGCTATTGAAGTTAGAAAAGTGTATACCAATGTCGTATGTAACTATAGAGACACGGTCCCTAGATTTGCGAATATCGAATGCCGGGAAATGACACCTCTGGCCATTCCGTTGGGTCGTTTGTAAAGTCACATATACTGTACGGACAATACGGCTCAGTTTTTCTATGTATCTTGCTCTGTTGAACGGCAAAAGTGACTTTACTAGGCTATACTGGATTTACACCATGCATTTCCTGTCAGCGGGAAAGCCGCGCCCCCAGCTATCACAAGACCCGACCACCCTCTCATTAGCCTGTTGTGCAGAGGAAAAATAAATGCGGAACTACATTCAGAAATAAATGAGTGATTAAAAGAAAACAGTTAGGATGGGTTTAGCATTTCCTTAAACATTTTCCATTTGGCCACCAATTTATTTTATTTATTAACCTATATTTCATCACACGTTTAATTATTTATATACGTATTTAAACAAGAATACGTGTATGTATACACACATTTATTTATTTATTTGCGTATATATTTATTTATGCACACATTTATGTATTTATTTGTGTATTTATTTATTTTTAATTTCTGCAGGTTTAGTCCTCCATAGATTTGATGCTCAAGAACATTTTATATTATTATCAACAGTTATGCTGCTTGTGGAAACCATAATACATGTAATTTTTTTCAGGATTCTTCGATGAACAGAAAGTTTGAAAGAACAACATTTATTTGAAATAGAAATCTTTTGTAACTTTTTAACTGTCTTTACTGTCCTTTTGAACATTCTAATGTACACTAGCTGAATAAAATTATTTAAAAAAATCACTGACCCCAAACTTTTCAACAGTACTGTAATAGCTTAAAATATTAGAATGTTGAGAACAAATTAAACACAATTTTACTATTTCCTATCCTGTATTACAAATCAAATCAAATAACCTGGATGCCACCAATCGCCTTCATGATTTGCAGGGGCACAGTTGCTTTATTATTTTGACCTAAAAACAAGCACAGTACAACAACAACTTACCACGATTAAGTCCATAATCAATTGTGTAACTGTACAAGAGGACAACTGAAGCACATAATCATCCATGTAACAGTGTAAGAACACTTACAGAGCCTGCGGTGTGCACAGACGCCAACAACATAATCTGCAATCATCGTCAAATAAAGGTGAGAATATAATACAGATGAGAGCTGCAGATTAAACTGGTGTTGCATTTTTTTTAAAGCTGCTGCTTATTAAATTGAATACATAAAAATTAAGATGGCTTGTCACTTATGCTTATCACCTGGGATGTTGTCTTTATTAAAATTCCCAGCAGCAACAGAGTATCCTATGATGCAGAACAATGACAAAACCTCACTGGATGTTTTAGATTTTATCATCATATTTATCGTTTTAATATCTAAAAAAAGAGCTTATTTAGCCTCAGTTTCTAATGTCTGATGTCACATCTTACCCAGATACAGGTCATAGTGGTCACGTCTTTGTGGTGTTTTGGTCTCACCGCTCCTTTTTGGTCAAAGTTTAAAGTTTGACATGACTCTCCACTTGATGTCCAAGGACACATGAAGACAGAGCCTCCACCAGAGACCCCAGGCTGGCTGCTGTTTGCTGTGGGTGCTCCAACCATCACACTGATACTGCAGGGTAGAAAACAGAGCATACAGTGAAATGTACAGGTTATAATTTCTAGTTTAGAGTGACAAAAGAATGTACATGATTAATGTATGATCATAATTAAGGAAGTTTATTCACAAGCACACATTACAGTTCAAAAGTTTGGGGTAAATATGATCTTTTAAAAATATACTTTTATTCATTCATTCATTCA